GTGATGATATTTCAATGTAAGTCACACGAGCCCTCGGACGTTTCCGCCGTCTGGTTCGGGGGTGTGACAATAGGCATCGTTCATATAGCTTGGGGCGGCTAGCGCTTCCTCCCCTATCACTGCCTGAACAAGGTCAGACATAGACATGTCTCATTGAGGGGGTAATTGCTTATCGGCTATCACCACCCACTCCGCGTATTCATTGAAGGCTCTCTCAAATAACAACTCTAACTTAGGTGGAGCGAGCCTAAATGTCACATGACATATCAAGTAGGCATGTTAACAGGGTGACCCTTCATCTTTGAATAAGACAAAACTGCAAAATTGGTCCCTGTGGTATTCAAAAAGCTGTGGATATAGTCCAAAAAGTTTTCAACTTGCACGAAAGGTATCAAGTAATTTTCGTGGTTTTAGTCCATGAACGACTTGAAAAGACCATTATGCCCTTTTATTTTTATTTTTTGGTTTCTTTACTCTTCTTTTATCCATTTCCTTATTATTTAGAGAATTTTTTAAATAAAAAGGAAAAAAATGGCCCATTCACACCACCTGTACCCCCTCCCCTCTCTATCTCTTTCTCTCCCTCTTTCTCTCTCTCATAAAAAAGATGTCGACTTCCCATTCCCATCAAAGAGGCCCTAATGGCTTTAACAACTTCATCCAAGCAAATCCTATGTCCGACGCCACCAACACCGACCGACATTTCTTCAGCTTCATCGCCTCCATATCCCAACGTTTTCCCACATTGACTGTAGTAACTTTAGTAACTTCCCTGCCTCCCACGACCTCGCAATCTGCTCATACATCATTGAAGTCGAGGATGCCAAAATCGCATTCTCCTCCGGCGTCTCCCACGATGTTACGTCCTATTCTATTGATAGAGATGATCAGAGGACTATGCTCCAGATATTCACGAAGCCTGTGAGTGACATGTATGTGCTTCTTGAACTCGTCAATTTTCTTGAATTCATTATCAGCAGATTCAATAATACAAAACCCTAACTTACATATTGATCAATTTCTAAAAATTGTAATTGTTGTTTGTAAATATCTGAGCAGGCCAACGATATTCATCGAGATAATTCAGAGACTTGGGTGTATACTGAAAGATGATGAAGGCAAGATGCATCAGAAGGCATGATATGGAGGATTTGGCAAGATGAACTTATCTGAGCTCTTCAAATAGAGAGAGAGAGAGAGAGAGAGAGAGAGAGAGAGAGATAGAGATGAGGATAAAAAACTTGAACTGAAGCTCTAGATTCAAAGGTAGGGTGTGTGTGTGTTTGATATCTGAAGAACAGAAGTTTGGTTTTTGAAGCTGGGCAAAATAAAATTGAAGAACCTAGTTTTTTAGGGGTCCTTGTGCTTGTAATCTAGTAGCAAAGTATCAAAAAATTTGGGTTTTTTTCCTAATTTGCAGATGATAGGTGAGGAAGAAGAGGATGAGAGAGAGAGAGAATAGTCGGTCCTGAGGCTTCAATTGCCCTGGACGAGCGGAAAAAAAGACTCTTAGGCGTTAATGTGTAGCGAATTAAATTACATAAACTATTTTTTTAAAATGACGATAAACTTTATAACAATAAACATAACAAAATCATAGTATTTTAATGAGTACCGACTAACTGTTCCAGACCATATATTTTATACTACAATTTCACTAAAAATATAAATATTTAATAAAACGAAGATGTTAAAGGTTAGTTTGGTAATTAGTAAAATGTGACAAAAATCTACTCTTCTCCTTGCATCGTTCAACGATTCGCTGTTGATAACTAGAAGTTGTCACTATCATTATCTTTTTGGAAGTCATTATAAATCAGTCAAACAAATGGGTGCATAGTGTATTAAAACTCAATAAAAGTAATTAATCTTTTTACAAAAAAATTACTTAATAATTTAATAAAATATGATATGAAGAATCTTGCAATCTTGCTCTTAGTGGATGCAAAAAAAAAAAAAAAAAAAAAAAAACCACGAGAATTTAGTGGAAGCACAAAAAGGAACTTTAGGCCAATTAAAAAGGGCATGCAATTGAACAATGAAGGATTCGAACCTAGCCACTTTGCATTGATTTGAAAAAATAGAAGCGTGCCTAGCCACTTATTGACTTGAAAAAATAGAAGCATGCTTATCAGTTAAGCTATACGAAATTTATCTTTTTGTTTGAAAGATTTATTATTTATATAAATATTAAATAGACAATATGGCTAAATCTCGGTCCCTATTTTTTTCGAGGCCTTATACGGCTGCCCACGTTCCCCCCCCCCCCCCCCCCCCCCTCAAATCCGGCCGAGAGAGAGAGAGAGAGAGCATATGGGGTGGGTCGGGGCTCCTATTTAAAAAAAAAAATTAAAATAGGATTAAAATAATTATAGAAAAAAAAAATGTGAAGGGTAACCGTCTATTCAAGTTTTTTTTGGACTAAAATTACATGAATTTTTTGATTTTGGACATTTCGTGAAAGTTGAAAAGTTTTTGGACCTTATCCATAGTTTTTTGAATACCATAAGGACCAAATTTGCAGTTTTGTCTTTGAATAACGACTTTTTCTACATGTTTTTTGAAAGTTAGAGGGCTCGGACAAAGGAGTAAAAGGGTATCCCTGACAAAAAAAATTGCGTAATATACAATAAAAAAAATTACACTACTAAAATTTTTTTAAGGGGTATCGCGGACTAGCCCGAAATATATTAGATCAACCTATGTTGGTCATCAATGAATTTCAAATATAAGTATGTTAATGAATAGTTCTATGTTTTCAAGTTTCAACTAATATTTATATTGAGAATATACTCTTTAATAATTGATTTTATAATTAGTCTATCAGTATAATAAAAATGTCATCCTTATAACACATTGGAGGTTCAAGTATCATTTAGGTTGTAAATAGAATTTAAAAATTAGATGTGGGTCGTGGTTATATATATATATATATATATATATATATATAT